TCAAGTATTTTTTTCTGCAATGATGTACTGCTTTCATAAATAAAACCAAAATCAGAAATCATATGCAAAATACATGTACAAAGTCATTTGAAAAAAATAAATGAGGTAGATATATAATTTCAACAAAGTGTTTAATGAAAAACTGTGGTATACAATGGACTCATCTCTTAAAAGTCTTAATTACAAGCTGAGGAGATAAAGTGTTTCCTGTCGCTAAGTGTAAATCTTATAAAACATTCTTTATGGTGCTGCTACAGTCAAACAACATCCAGGACACAGTGAAACATAGGTGAGCCCTACTCTTCAGTCATATTCCGAGATGCGAATGTGTTTACTTGCTTGTTGAGTCTTTTGCAGTCTAATCTTTTCCGCTTTGGTGATTAACTTCTCGGTGCCTCTCTTCTCCCGCGGCTGATTGGCTTGTCTATTTACCAGAATCTTCTGCCAGTATCTCTGTTCCTGATCACCAGAAGGGACCTCAAGTTTCCAGTTGTACTTCTTGTTAATCTCAGCGTGGACATTCATTAGTGGCTGGGCTGCCTCTGGGGTTTTAAATCTAGCATGACATTCTGTGTCTCCTTCTAGCAGGTCAACATATACAACTTCTGAGATTGCCACCAGCATATCCCGCACTTGCTTCCAGCCAGGCAGCAGTTCTGGGTTACTGATTTTCACGATAATTCCACTCACGAACTGTGGCCCTGGGGGGGGGGGTCACCTTCTCCTGAGGGTGACGCTCCAGACCCCTGGCTTCTCCATTCTTCACTGCAGCCCTACTAAGTACTGTGCTGTCTGTTTCCATTTCTGATTCTGATTTTATTTGGGATATTGTCTTTTTTTAAAGAAGCCATGCTGGCTTTTTGCAGTGCCAAATACTTGTTTAAATCCATTTGTTCTTGGATAGGCCCCGCAAAGGTATGACTTCTTCTCCCATATGTCTTTTTATGTTTTTTCTTGTGCTTCCTCAGCTGTGTGTGTGTGTGTGTGTGTGTGTGTGTGTGTGTGTGTGTGTGTGTGAGTGTTTGGTACCAAGGACGTGCTTGCCAGGCAGGTACTTATTCTACTGAGTTATCTCCCTGGCCCTCCTGTTTTTTTTTTTTTTTTTTTTTTTTTTTTTTAATTTAGCACAGAGTCTACAGGGTCTCACTACACAGATTGGACTCAAAGAGATCCTCCTGTTTTCAGCCTCCCAAGTGCTAGGATTACAGGCGTGCACCACTACACCTAGTCTCATACACTGTCTCTTGGTGCACTCTAGGAGCAGGACCAGCTGGCAGGTCAAGGATCGAACCTACATCTGCCAAAGCAGGCGCTTTAAATCCACTGAATTATCTGGCCTTGCACTTGCCAGGGAGCGCTTATTCCACTGAGCCATCTCCCCAGCCCCCTTCCTCTTGTTTTTTAACACAGAACCTTCTTTGATGTCTCTATTATTTTCCTCTTCTATAGAGAATTCTAAATTTCTGTTCTCTTTTGGAACTTCAGAAGCCTCTTTTTTAAAGTCTTTGTGATGTTTTCTTAACTTTTGACTTGGGAGCCAGGCTTTCAGCATCCGCAGAGCTGCTTCTCTTTTTTCTTCCCGGGCCTCTCATCAGATAAGCCAGACACCTTGATTCTCTCACCTTTTCTTTTTGTGGTTTGCTTTTGGAATTCCACACTTTCCCTTTCAGAGCCCTGGAGCCAGTCTTAGCTCTTTTCACTTTACAGATACTCTTGTTGCTTGTTTCCATACTCACCTTTTCCCCTGCACATTGTCTTCTTACTTGCCCTTTTTTCTTTTCTTTTTTCTTTTTTTAATTTTTATTTATTTATTTATTTTGTGTGTGTGGCCAGCTCAGCCCACCAGGGGGCGGGGCTGGCTGGCATGTGGTGCTGGGGGATTGAACCGCGGTCCCTGTGCTTTGCTTGGCTTAGTTTGTTCTAAGTAGGTGCTTTAGACCACTGAGCCATCTCACCAGCCCCCCTTTTTTCTTTTCTTTTCCCTCAACTACTCTTAAGCCGGGAATGGGCTTGTTTTTCACTGTTTTAGGAAATATACCAGGTTTTCTTGGTGCTTCTTCTGGTGGGTTGTTAAGAAACTCAAAAGCTTTTGCAGCTTATTCTTGTGTTTCAAATTCCACAAAGGCAAATCCCTTTGGGTCTCTCATAGATTTATAATGTGGTATACTTATATAAACAACATTGCCACATTTTCCAAATACTCTTTCAATCCAGTGGTGATTAACATCTTTTAGGAATTAATTCCACATACACAGTGCGTTCATCCTCATCCTTTGGTCTTTCACCCAGGGGCTTTTTCTTCTGATCCTGGTGCCTTCTAAGTCCAACTCAACAACAGCTGAGCTTTTCAACGCTCTGGCTATTAACTTGCCATCGGTAATCAACTTTTTCATTTTGTTAAAAGATACCAGAAGGGAGATATCAACATATCCATCTCTAGATTTTTCTATCTGCTCTCGAAGAAATCTGTCCTTGTGAAGATTTGCATCCCCAAACTGTAAGTCCCCATGCTTGACTAAATCTGCAAGCACCTGTTTAACTCTGGAGTGTTTTTTCTTTTCTACTTCCTTCTTTTCAGTGCTCTCTTCCATGTTTTTTTGTTTTGTTTTGTTTTGAGGAACCAGGGATTGAACTCAGGCCCTTGCACTTGCCAGGCAAGTGCTTATTCTACGGAGCCATCTCCCCAGCCCCTCTTCCATGGTTTGATGTCCACCTTCAGCTCCCATTTTCCACTCACTTCCAAAAAATGCGGTCAGAGACTTGTGTCCTTCAGCCCTTTGCTGATCCTAGAGTCGTAGTTATTTTGTGTCATATGCTGATCAACACCACTCACTCTTTATTTGGTCTTTTTGATACAGGGTCTTTCTATGCAGTTCAGGCTGGCCTTAAGCTCCCTTTGTAGCCCAGGCTGGCCTTGAACTTTAAACAATGCTCCTGCCTCTGTCTCCCAAGAGCTGGGATTATGGTCATGTACCACCATGCTTTGAATAGTTCTTTTCATCTCCTTTCCTCCCCTCCCTATTCCCTATCTCCATCTCTTCATCTTTCCATTTGAGATCTACTACCATTTTCTTTTATCTTTCATTTTGCTCTTTTTTAAAAAAAAGTATTTGGTACAGGGTCTCACTACACAGCTTGGACTCATAGTGATCCTCCTATTTTCAGCCTCCTATCATGCCTGGTCCCCGTGGCAGGGCTCAGCATGCCTAGGGGTGCAGAGCTAGCGTGGCCTGTGGTGTAGGGGATCGAACCCCAGTCACTGCACTTGCCTAAGCAGGTGCTTAGTCTGCTGAGCTATCTTGCAGGCTCTGCTTTTTGTAATTTGGATTTCTCATACAAGAGAAATCATGTAATATTTATGTTCATGAGTCTAATTTATTTCACTTGGTTTCATGCTGCATCCATTTGCCTACAAATGACTCATTTATCATTCTTTTTGGCAGAATAATACTCCATTGTGTATCAACACATTCATCTGTTGATGGACAGATAAGTTACTCCCGAAATTTAGCTATTATAAATTGTGCTGGGTATGTATGTATCACTAACACGATGTCTTTAACTCTTCAGAAATTATATCTAGAAAGGGAATAGCTGGGTCAAATGGAATTTCTAATTTTAGCTTTTTTGAGGAATTTCCATACTGACTTCTACATTAGTTTACATCCCCATCAATAACATGGAAGGTTTCCACCCCACTACCCACAGCCTCCCCAGCATGTTATTATTTGATTTGTTGATGATGACCATTCTTCCCAGCATGCAGTCTCCATATGTTGCCTAGACTAGCATGGAACTCCTGGATTCAAGTGATTCTTCTCCCTGTCTCCTCAGTAGCTGGGACTACAGCTGGGAAATGAATGAACTTAAATGGCTCTATCTGCAGGCATGTTGATTAAAATGGAAAAATTAGAGGGTTTTATCCACTCGACAAACCCCTCCCACCACTAAAGGAAAAAGGAAATCAGGCAGATTCGTTGGGAGTAAGTTTCGATTTAGAGTTCCCACTTTTTTAACCTCCAAGTAGAAGCTGCCTGGTTCTTTTTCTATACCTCTCCTTAAATATTTCCATATTATCCTTTTGCGTTGGAAAAGGGCTCACTGTAACCTACTGCAGTCTACCACACTAACGGACTTCTGCAAGGTGCAAATCCTCTTCTCTGTTTGGGGTTAGACAGTCCCGTGGTGAAAAGTTTTAACACGGAATTTGAACCTTCCTCCAGCTTCATAATCTGTAAAACGGGGATATTTTTCTGATCTGCTTCACACAGTTATGTAATTTTTTAAAGCACACAGTTGAGAGGGAAACACTATAGAGAAAGTATGACTATGGAGATGGGGGTATGGAGATATTTTGTAACCCAGAAAAGGCTGCTGAGTTGTTATTTTTGTGCCATCTTCCTTACCTGGTTGTCGTGAAGATTAAATGAGACACTAAGGTGAAAATGCTTTACACACTACCAAGCGCTTTTCAGAATCCACGTGATGGGTTACTAATTACACAGGCCACAGCACCTGGCCCTCGGTGAGGACTTGGCAAATGCTGGGTTAGAGTGGACGATTTTTGTCTTGCCCGTTCTTTTCAGTCTTCCAATCCAAACCCATCTCAGCGCGGCCTGGGCCCAAAACCCAAGATTTGGGGGGCGCCGCTGAGATGAAAGCGAGGGCCGAGTCCCGAGAGAGAACGGGAACAATAGGTTACTTCAGCGTCTAAACTGGTTGGAGGGGCTTCGGACGCCAGGCCGGAGAGTCGGCAGGCTGGACTGTCCGCGGCACATCCTCTCCCGCTCGGAATTCGACGCCATCGGGTTGCTGGGGAGTCGCAGTCGGCTCCCAGCCACCCAAGGTCCAGGTTCTGGAAAGCGTCCTGGCCCCGCCCCCCGCTTCAGGTAGGTCGTCCGCGTCAGCCAATCAGCAAGGGGCCTGGGCAACGGAGGCGGTGCTGCCCGGCCGGAAGTGATGTGATCCGCTTGGCTGGCCCTGCGATCTGTTGTGGCGGTTGAGCCCGCTGAGGGGAAAATGGCTCGAACCTCCGCGGCCGCGACGGCTCCGGCTGCAGTGGAGGCAGAGGCTCAAGCGGCGTGAGGTGAGGGGTGCTGGTGCCGGTGGGACGGGCCGCTGGGACGGCGGGTACGAGGGCTCCTTGGCGCGGCCCCCAGCTTCCCGGCGCTGCTCGTAGTCTCCGGGTCTCGAACGGTCGGCGCTGCCCGGCCCGCCGCCTCCGGGCCTCGCTTCCCCCCGGCGGCTGCCCTGCTCTGCTCTTGTCGGGGCTGAGCCCGGGGGTAGCTTTGTTTCCGGGGGCGCGGTGAGAGAGGCCAGTCCCGTCCCGCGTCGACGGTCGGTTGAAGCGAGCGGGCGCCGACGGCCTCTTCGCCTCCCCGGCGCGGCTCTCGAGCCGACGCGGCGTCTCCCCCCGGGACCCTGCCGCTCCCTCCTGTCCCGAGTCCTCTGCCTCGGGAAGGCCGTGTTATTTGTGTACTTAGCGCTTCAGCTTTGTCAGAGGGCGGTGAGAGTAAAGATACTTACTTAGCTCTTCCTGAGTGACAGAGGAAGAACAAATAATTGAAGGAAAAAGACCCCACGCACTTGTTTTCCTCACTGCGTTGTTTGGCTTTAGAGACGTGTTTCTCCAGCTTGGAAATTTTTGCGGGGGGAGCAGGAACTGAGGAAGCAAGAATGCGAAAGAGAGCCTGTGGTGGTTCTTGCCCTCTGTGCTTGATATGGCGGCGTTGAGGCTGTAATTATATTTTAAACAGTGGGTGTTTGGGTTGATTGACACGAGGGAGGCTTTCCTCTTTGAATCAGGTTGCCTGTTAAGGAGGGATCCAAATCTTTCCAAGTAGCGCCTGCAAAAAAACCTCGGGAAAATCGTTTATTAGGGCATCAGAGGCCAAAACAAAATAAAGCAAAACAAAACCCAAAACTGTTCCGAGAAGGGTAGTGAAGAGGGTATAAATAGGGAAGGCTGATTCCAGCACCTTTGCCTCCTCAACCTTGTGGTTCTACCTCCAGGAGACTCCTTTAACTGCTCCGCCTTAGTGGGCGCTGGCGCTGTAATTCACGTTTGCAGATTAGACTGCAGTGTCTTAGTTGAGAAATAAATGGAACATAGCTGCTTGTCTAACATTAAGATGGTGTTCGAGTACTGAAAAGTATAACAATTTGAGAATATATATTATTTGTTAATCTAAACAGTTCAAAAGTTATTTTAGGGCCAGGCATATAGCTCAGTGGCATAAGTGTGCCTGGCAAGCGCAAGGTCCTGAGTTCTATCCCTGGTACAAAAAAACCAAAAAAACGTTATATGTATAAAACACGCAGAGCTTCCACAACATTTGCCAAAAGTAATAGGTTGTAAAACAGAGAGTTATTTTTATTTATTTATTTTTTTAGGAAACCTCCTGGTAATTTGTTTTGTGTGCAGGTAGCTTCATGCTTCCTTTGCAAACAATATACTGTATTTGAATGTTTTTATTCACAAGCATCTTTCTGTTGTTGTTGTTGTTGTTTGTTTGGTAGTGGGGATTGAATTCAGGGAGTGCTGAGTTATGACCCAGCCACTTTAAATTTAGGGTCTCACTAAGATGTTGAGACTGGACTATAGGTGTACGCCATTATGCTTACTACTCCCCCCCCTTCAGTTTTATAGACTATAAAAGTTTGCATGCTTGTTTTAGGAATTACCATTGCTTTCTATAATTAACTATTAAGTATGTGAGTTTTTTGTCTTGACACTTCTAAAAACTTTAATATTGCTGCATTAGTTTCTATATCCACAAATCTTCAGTCTAGTATGTTGTTTTATACTTCAAAATAATCACATTTAATCAGTAAGTGAATTTATACTTAAAACAGTGTTGAATTTCCCAGGCATTCAGTTTTTTTTTTGTTTTGTTTTGTTTTTTAACAGAACCTGGGGTAGAACTCAGGCCCTTGTGCTGGCCAGGAAGCACTTATTCTACTGAGCCATCTCCCCGGCCCCTTGAACTAAAATTTAACCCTTTGAAAGATTTTAGAGTGACAGAGTTGGATAACTAGTGTACTGCAAGGGTTCCAAGGAAAGCAGAATGAAGGATACAGTGATTGGGCTCAAGAATTGTTCTAGTCCATCTGGGAAGACAGACACCAAAATTATAAGAGTATAGTTATAAGGGCAGTGGTAGATCCAAAGTGCTAAAAGAGTGTAATCACTTGAGTTGGGAGAGGGAGTATTAAAGGACAAATTTATTAACATGAATGCAGGGTGGATAAAATTGACGAAGTTTAGTATGCCTTGGTGTACTGCTTAGTATAAAGCAGTGAGATAATCCAGCAAGCTGTTTAATACCTCTGTTACTGATTTTTATGATCATTTGATGGTATTTATACATGATGTTTCCCCCCGGTACTGGAGATTGAGCTCAGGACCTTGTGCTTGCCAGGCAAGCGCTTATTCTACTGAGCTATCTCCCTGACCCTCTTCTGTTTTTTGAGATGATGTCTCAATATGTAGTTCAGATTGGCTTTGAACTCACTAAGTAGCCTACGCTAGCCTTGAATTTGTAGCAGTCCTTCTGTGTCAGCCTCTCCAGGCCTGGGAGTACAGGCATGTGCCCACATGTTTGATTGTATATATTGTTCTTTTAATGGGAATAATAGTAGTATTTGGCAATACTGTTTTAGGTAATTTTACATTGTTTATAGGATTGTGGTTGAGACTTGAAGAGACTTGTTTCCCCTGCCTCTTGTATGTATTTACTACAGGGTCTCACTGTGCAGCTCGGACTGGTAGTGTTCTGTTTTCCAGCCTCCCCAGCGCTAGGATTACAGGTGTGTGCCACCACACCTGGACTCAGTTGCTGGCTCAGCTTGCCCCAGCCAGGCAGGCACAGCATGTAAGACTGGGTATCAAACTCTGGTTCCTGCACTTGCCAAAGCAGTGCACTGAGCACTGATAGCTTAGTCCACTGAGCTATCTTGCTGGCCCTGCAATCTGTTACTTCTAATGGGGTGAATTCAAAACGCAATGAGACTCTTGAATGACATTTTTTGCCTGCCTTTTAAGATCATGATACATAGTATATTAAGCATCTGGTAGTCTATTTTTTTTTTGGTAGTCTATTTTGTTAGGGAACTTTTTTTATTTTTTCATAGATATAACAACAGTGTTTTTATATTTTCTTTATATATACTTATTACATTAAAATAAAAAACATAAACTCATTACCCAGAAATTTTAGTTGCTTAAAAAGATTTATACAATTTCTTTTTTTTGTTTTGTTTTGTTTTGTTTTGTTTTGAGACAAGGTCTCACTATTCTAGATTGGCCTCAAACTCAAGAGTAATCTTCGTGCCTCAGACTTCCAATGCACTGGGATTATAGGTGTGCACCATCATGTTTGGTTTGGGTTGATGCAATTTATTCCTTGGAGTCCCTAAATTTTTAAATTTAGCTATTTGGGTACAAAAACGATGAGATTTTTTAAACAATAGATTTGAAGGTAGTTACTATTGGTTTAGGACCGAGTATGTTTTAGTGTTTTTTTTTTTTTTTTTTTTTTTTTTTTTGCGGAACCAGGGATTGAACTCAGGCCCTGTGCTTGCCAGGGTGTTTTAGTCTTAAATGCATTAAAATGCTATGTAATTAATATCTTCATTGTTTGCTTCTTTGTTTTATTTTGTTTTTTGGAGACGGTCTCACTATGTAGTTCAGGCTGGCCTTCAACTCATTATGTAGCCCAGGCTGGCCTTAAACTCACTGGGATCCTCCTGCATCTGGAATGTTGGGATTACAGGAGTGTGCTACCAGGCCTGGGAATTAAATAGAGCAAATAAATAGTTTCATATTTTTTCTTTTCTCTTCCTCCTCCCCTATTTTCTTCCCCTCTTCCTTCCTCCCTTTTTTCCTTCTTGCCTGCCTACCTCCCTCCACCCCTTCCTTCCTCATTCATCCATTCATTCATTCATTCATTCATTCAATATGGTCTTACTGTGTAGTTCACGTTGGCCTTGAACTCATGATCCTTCTGCCTCAGCCTCCCAAGTGCTGTGATTACCGGTATGGAATACCATACCTGGCTAATATTCACATTTTCTTTTTTTTTTCCCTCCATAATTTTATTGAGAAACAAATAGCAATGAGACCGTTTCAAACCAAATTAGTAGTATACTTCCAATAATTAACACATTGCATACTCTCTTCCTAGTGGTTATTAGCTGTACAAGATACAGACATGATATCCTATTTACAAACACTATTAGAACAAATCCCTCTATTCATTAAGAGAATGTAACTATCTATCCTCACCATTTTGAATACACAGATACAAAATGGACATTCATCTGTATCCCCTTTTTTGTTTAGTTCCGTCATTTGAACATTATAAGTGTGTGAAATCAGCAAAATATTCCAAAATAGTCCAATAGTCCATAATAGTATTGGGTCTTCCACTTGATTGACAATGTCAGAAATTGTTGACCTGAGTCCCCTACAGCTCAACATAACAGCATGGCTTTATTTCCTATACTTCGTTTTTATACTTTTCTGCTGGATGGTTAAGACCAAGATAAAGCAAGACCTATGCAACAAGAGTTGTAGCTTTTGGATCTGATAAGGTCAGTCAAATGCCCTCAGGATTATTCTGAGATCTGTACCTCAGATTGTAAATCCTTTGTCAGTGTCAGCCATGTGGATGAGTCACAGCCATTGCTTGGCCAATTTGCTGTCTGTGAAAGCCTGAGAGAATGTTTTCTCTCCATGTGACTCTTTAGGCACCCTCTACATCATCAATCACTTTCCTCTTTGGCCCCATAATCTCCTTGATCAGAAAATTTGGGACACAACTGAGTTACATTATGTTACAGTACAAGTTTTCCTATGTCCTGAGTCTTAATTGACCTTGGAAGGCTAGGGCCAAAATGTTGGCTTTCCTTGTGGCCCTCCTTTTTCTCTAATTTTTGGTCTGCAAACTTAGGTTGTTGACCCTGCAGAATATTCTCATTTTCTTGATGAGGAAATGGTGGTATATCTTGTTTAGCATAATATAGTTCCTTGAACCCAGACCTTCCACTACTAGGCCCAGTATTCTTTTCCTTATGTGTTTTCAT